TTATTATTATTATTATTATTATTATTATTATTATTATTATTATTATTATATTATTATTATTAATTATTAATTATTATTATTATTATTATTATTATTATTATTATTATTATTAATTATCATCACTGCCATCACTATCACTACAGTCGATTACGAGATATTCAAAAGCTTTATTGTTCACATTTTTGCATCTTTTCTGAATTATTATTAATCAAGCAAATTTGTTCATGAGTCAAGTGGTTCGTTTTTGTCTTTGCATAACAGAATGAAAGTATGCAAGAATTTCAACAGAAAATGTCTGTAAACGGCCCACATGGGGAAATCGGTCCTAAATTTAAAACATTATTTCGAAGTATGTCATCAAAACTTTTTACATGTAACACACTCATACGCTTCTTGCGCGAAGAATATGATATATTGAGAAAGTACAGTTTTCATAAGTTCAAGAATATTTCGGAAAGAAGTTACGAAATTATACCGTCCAATCGGACCAGTTTCGTGTGGGCGATATGGAATATTTTCCGGATTTTCAATCGAAAAGTTAAAATTCATAGATTTTAGATAATGCGAAGAAAAATGATATTAAATCAAATATGGAGCCACCGTTACAACTCTCACCATCATCACTACCGATGTCGTGAAGAATTCCGGAAACTATTTACACTGGAAAGGAAATCGAAAATTTACACTGGAATCATTGCAAATCCAGCAAACGTTTTTTATTGATAATAATATTGCGATTAAATTGAGGAAGAAACGACTTCTTTATTAGAAATAGAAAAAATTGTGATTTGTTAAAACAATAAATTTACGACGATGTAAGATATTTTGCGACAACCATAACAGCTTTTTTATGAAGCATTGGCTAAAATAGTGAGTTAATCCCCCACAGCAGCAAAATTCTGCAAGAATAACAAAGAGTTCTGCATCGACGACAACAAATCTGCGAAAGCTTGTATTTTTGACATTGCACAGTATGATTAACTTAAGAAACGAATGTTACTTGAGATAATAGATGGCATAATGAGATATGCCAAGCATGGAAGTTCAAATTCGATGATGAGATAAACATTATGGGATTACAATCAACACCTATCAAATAATTGGTCGGAACAGTTGTAATTTCTCACCGTGCACTTGATTCAGGCGGCAAACACCTCACATTTTCAGAAAGTTTCTCTTCCAAGGCCTTTTCTAATACATCAAGACATTGCTCGATGGATAACTGATCCTGAAAAGAGCAATTATCGATAAGTTAAATAAAAAGTCAGGAAAGAAATTAGAAAACAAGACAAAAATTATAAAATTACATAAAATTAACAAGGTAAAAACAGAGAAAAAATTAGAAGGTAAAATTTAACAACTACCACACTTTTCCGATACAACCCACTCATTTTTACAATAAAAAATTCAGACTTACCACCGGTAATTTGGAATACCCGATGACGGGTATTTGGCGCAAACAACGTCCACTCAAACCAGAAGCTCTTCTGTAAAAAAGACTTTGTTTCACTAACGATACTTCTATACTGGCTAATTTACTACGCCGTAGTATATTACCTGTTGCAACAAGCCCGTTTAATACAAGCTCGTTTTCATGCTGATCATAAGGCATAAAGATAATAACAGTAATAATAATACAAACTAGTGTTTACCTTGATAACTGCATAAGCTTCTCACAATGTGGACCACTTGCACATCGTTTAGAGAACCATGGACCAGGCTCCACAATGCCAACCTGAAATTTCATTATCTTAAATTTATTGCATCAAATGAGTGATTTTAATGACCCTTTGGATGCCGCCATTTTCTTGCTTTTTTTTTTTCATATTTTCATGAGAAAGAGTTTTCAACTAACATCCAGGCTTGCAACGTCAAAACTTACTCTCTGCATTTCTTGAATGCATGAACGAAATATGGTGTAAACTGCATTTGCTGAAGGATAACCAACGAAACGACTTAAATCTGTTCTATCCGTAAAAGCTTCATCTAAACTCTAAAAATTAAAATCTAAAAAATAATATTTAATGGCGATTGCTATTATCAAATGAAAACTGTGATAAACATTGCCTTCTGGGCAATGAATAAAATTGTTCAGCTCGATCCAAGACATTTTGGTAAATTTCTCTGTAGATATGAGCATTTTTGCTCGTCTTCGAAAAGAACAAAAGAAGACACACCTGTGTTATATTGGAAGTAGTGAAAATGAATATGTTACTATGTCGACGTATATAATCCACTTGGGTAAGGACAGCATTGACAGCACGAACTGCATCCGTTGGTTCATTTCGATTCAGCAAGGCACTTCGAGCTATTGTTAAGCTTTCTACCTTAAAAAAGATGAACCATTATGTCATGAAATAAAATTAAAAGACAGAACTACTTATTATATTTAATACTTCTTCAACAGCTGGCAAAAAAAATCTTAATTTAAGTTAAAAGTTCCAAGTTCATTCAAAAAAAATACCAACACTGCGATTTAACCAGGTAACTCAATAATCATTCAGTAGCTTACAAAATTTATAGCCCCAATATCAATAATAATGCTAAAATAAACGAAAAAAATTAGTAGCGGAAAGAATGGTCAGAATCAAAAAAAAAAATGCATTTACTTCATCAATAAGTACGAAAACAAGCGCTTTCGGATCTTCTGCAAGTTCTTCAATTTGTTTGAACATGTTTTGGATCAATTTACCACTCTAAAAATTAATGGGGAGAATATTTTCGAAAAAATTATTATTTAATGGAGCACCAGCAATAACTTTAATGAACAATTATGTTGAAAATTTTCTTGATCATATTTCTAATGGTGAATTAATATTTGAAAGAAAAAAAGTAATAGAGGTGAACCAGTAAGTTCCACTGGACAAGTCATATTCTTAAGAACATACTATCAAATAGTCTCAGTGACATTGGAATCAGTAATAGATTTACCAAAAAGTATTTCAGTAGTGTTACCTCAGAAAAAAATTTTGAGAAAAGGCCATGGCTGTTAATTTCTACAAAATACATTCTTCTGTATTTTTGGCTAAATCGTATAGCCAACTTTTGAGCCAATGCTTTGCAAAGCGATGTTTTTCCAGTTCCTGGTGGTCCTGCAAACATGTAAGGCCTTCAATTTTGAGTTGGTATATTTGCAAGTCGAGTTTTAGGGTAACATAGAATGTATCTTCATGCAAAAGAATGCCTAACTTCAGCTGGTTTTATGTTCACTATCAATATCGAAATAACAATTTCAGTCTTATTTGAAGAAATTCTTACATGTACAGGAACTTATAAAGTTAAAACCACAAACCGTGCAATAAAATCAATCGGTTCACTCTTAATATTGCAGCATTTATGTTTTTCTCCGAGAGCCTGACCAGCGCATAAACATAAGAAAGGAGCTACAACAAATAAAGCTTTACAAACATGAATTTTTTCCAATTCCATTTCTTAAAAAGAAAAAAAAGATCCATAATGTTCTTTGACGTATGGCATAACAAATTTTATTAAAGTTATAATGATACAAAGTTTAAGTTGAAAAATAAAGGAGCCAACAATATCAACCAGGAAATGGCTTAGTACTTATAGGGTATCGACAAAGAAATCGAAGCAACATCCAAGCAATACAGTAAGCTAGAAACAATACCGGAAAATGGAAAAAATTAAAACAAAACCAGCAGGAGGGTCCAGGTGGGAGGAGGGGGGCAAAAGGGTGGATATAGATTAGAATTATAAATTATGAATTCAAGTAAACCATAAGAATTTAAGTGAGCATTATTGATCCCTTAATTTCTGTTGGTCCAACTTTATAAATTTAATTGTCGAATTCAAACCATCTTGAACTTACCTCATCTTTAATGGAATCATCGAAAATTAAATTTTCCCAAATTCCATCAAATTCGCAACAAGGTAATTCCCATAATAATGACCCAGCAGTATTGGACTCAAAGCCATGCTCACCTGACTGAGCTTCCAATGTTTGCGCTTCACGATTCAGTAATTTGTACAGATGTACATTTGCAAGTGTTAACGAAGTATCGGATATTGTCAAGGATTCTCCTGAAAATATCAAAAAATAATTGAAGGAACAATTTCGTTTGGAATTAAGAAATAAAACAACTTCGCACAAACTGTTTTCAAAAATCTTACAATAATTTTTAAAAATTATTAAAAATTTCGAGGAAAAAAAACAGCAAAAAGTTGAAAAAAAGCAAACCTTCGGGAGTATTTGAGCAAACAATAAACACACAATCAATCATTTTAGTAAATTCCTTATCAGATGGTAGAACTATTGGGTAGCCATTACGAACATTTTTGATGGATAAAAGCGTTTTGTGAATTTCAGGTAATAATTTTTCAGCATCTTTCCTTGCACTAAAAGTTGACATCCAGAAGTACCAGTGTACAACGAAACATCACCTCACCGCTCCCGGGTGGGCTTGAACCACCAACCTTTCGGTTAACAGCCGAACGCGCTAACCGATTGCGCCACGGAAGCACACCTCCTCTCCTCCCAAAACACATCTTCAACATTGCAGTGAAAAATTGGAATCCTATGTCTTCACAATTTTTATTATATGCTTTTATGTACGTCCAAAAATGGAAATTTCGTAGAGTCACCGGATAAACATTTTTTCGTATCGAATTTCTATTGGTATGTGAACGATACACTGTTATCAATGAAACTAAGGGAAGAAAAATTTTAATGGACATTTCCAACAAATTGAAATATCCGGTTTTCAAAATAAATTTTGTCAAAATGGAACTCGTGAAAATCTTTCGGAATAAATTTTGTAGCATGATAATATACATTATCAATGTGGTGCAATCAGTCGTTCCGTTTGAATTAACAGCCGTAATAAATACCCAGGAATAAGTAATTATCCAAGTCGAAAATTAAAACCAACTATTGGAGAGGGGGAAATCAAATTGTTATCCAACAGTGAAATTCTAACCCAAAAACAAAAATCACACATAAATTATCATTTTGGAATGTAAAACAGCACTTGTTATTTTGTAGTGAGAATATAAAAAAGCTTACGTTGTTGAATTCAAACGTATTTCCGCATGAAAAGACGGATTAGACTGCATAATTTCTTGTTGTTTGTTAGGAATATCTCTCATTATCATAGCCCAAATGGAAGCGCTAAGTTGCCCAATAAAACTTCCCATTTTACGGATTTTCCAACTTCTCCCTCAAATCTTTCTGAAATTTCAAAATTTAAACACACAACTAAAAAAAACAAACTTGCTTTTCGATTAAATACCAACTTAATCACTTTTAAATTAATTATCATCATGTGACCGTATGACCCCATTGCCAATGTAATGTAAGCCACTTTTTGACCTAACCGCCCCACACCCTGTCCCATCCTTGTCACCAACTCCCACACATCTCTACCGGAAGACAATGACATCTTTTCGCGCCATTATGGTTTTCTTGAGAAAATTTTCAAAATAACAGCACTCTAACGGGTGAGACATTTGCGCTTTAACTTTTTCTTTTTTTATTCCTTGTAATTGAAGGACATATGGTGGAAATTCATATATTCTATGTCTTTTTCAAAAGATATCACAAATATCTTTTTTGTTGTCATAAATATCTTTTGGTTTATTAGTGCAATTATGATAATGATAATGATAACGATTACGATTACGATTATGATTAAGATAGTTATAACAATTGCAAACTAAACATTCACCGGAATAACTCATAATTGTTCATAGCTTAGCCCGGAAAAAAGTTAAGCTCATATGATATCAAATCCATATTGATTGTTGCTATTATGATTATGATTATGATTATTCAGTAATAATGATTCAGATTATAATATTTGTTGTGATTATAGTTGTGATAATAATTGATAACAATGATTATCACAATTATCGACAGTGCATATGCAAGCAGTATTCATTCGTAGTATTAAAAAATATTTTACTTAAATCATTATTCAATATTTAGTATCAATTATTTCATTTAATATTTGATCTGAACTACCATTCAATTTTATCCTCCCCAAGTAATGTTATAAATCTTAATTAAAATTTAATTAAAATTAATTTATGTGAATAAAATAGTTCGATAAATGTTAAAATAAGCAAGCAGCGGTATATTTAACAATGATCCGTAGGTAAATACTTTAATAATGAAGAAATTATATTTGAAATATTATAGATTAGAGTTACCATCATATTTTCGAATATGAAATTGGCGTTCATGGAAAGATTTCATTTAAGATTTCAAAGATATTTCAAGCTTCATTTTAGCTTTATGTTTAGATGTATAAATAAAAACTAACGCAACATTTATACAAATATAAACCAACGTGACGAAAATGTACTAACGTGACAAATATAAACTAACGTGACAAATATAAACTAACGTGACAAAAATAAACTAGCGTAACGAAAATAAACTGACGTGACAAATATAAACTAACAACGTGACAAATATAAACTAACGTGATAAATGTAAACTAACGTGACAAATATGAACTAACGTGACAAAAATAAACTAGCGTAACGAAAATAAACTGACGTGACGAAAATAAACTGACGTGACAAATATAAACCAAGGTGACGTTTATACAAGTGTAAACTAGCATGAATTAGATGAAATATGATGTGAAATAATTTTAATCAATCTTTAGTGATATAATGTTATTACAATCTTCGTTATTTTAAATGCATGATAAGCAATAAAATAGAATTAGAATTTTTACGTAGAATTACGCAAATTACGTAGAATAAATCATGTAACAAAAATTATGCTGCGTGTACGTATACGTATCTATTGTATATGTGCGTGCGTGTGTGTCTATGTTCGTGTATGTCAGTACGTGTGTGTGTGTGTGTATATATATGTGTGTGTGTGTGTGTGTCTGTCTGTCTGTGTGTGTGTCTATGTTCGTGTATGTTGGTACGTGTGTGTGTGTGTGTGTGTATGTGTGTGTGTGTGTGTGTCTGTGTGTCTGTGTGTACGTGTGCATGCATATATGTGCTATATTTACAGTGTGATTATCACTTAATGATCTGTCTAATGCGGATATCATAATTATCATCTATAATGATTAATGCGTACTTGTGAAGATCATTGTGAATATAACAAACTAATCATTTGTAATGCTATGAATAATGTTATTGAAGTGAAAAAAAAATCTTTTGATTACGATTCATTGCGATCTCTTGCCCAATATATTTATTGCGATCTCTTGCAAATATTTATTACGATCTCTTGCGAGTATTTATTACGA